TTCATTTCCACTAACCACATTGTGGCCCTCCTAAAGTCTGAAGGACACTAAACTGGTTCTTTGTTTTAAAAGTTTGGGGTCCCCCTAATATAATCAATTCTATATTTGTAGTATAAAACATTTCACGTGTAAATGATCACATTTCTACTTTGTAGTAGTATTAGGCTTCAAGCTTAGTATTAATCATTAAAGGAGAAGTATTGGGAGAAAACCACAGCGATGCCCCCTCTGTTCCTCCAGCTCTCATTGGAGGGACAGGCAGGAGAGGGGGTGGGCATAGCTGGCGCTAGCACTAGCTAGGCAGAGCTATCGGTCAATCAGGCCGATAATATTGTAGGGATCTTTCCCGGCTGCAGCTCAGCTCTGCTCTATCAGCAAATAGCGGGCAATAGTCCACTATATGCTGATTTTGGGTCACAGGAGTACAGTAGTAAATGTACTCCTTTGATGCAAACTGGACTAAAGCCCCAAAAATGGTTTGGTTTTAGTTCTCTTTTAAATCATAAAATGCATAATATTATTGTTTGATAATATTTAAATGTATATATTTTTTTAGATACTACCGTTGTGAACATTTACATATTATGATGGGGGGTAGAGGTGTAAAATCTCATTATGGAATTCCTCCCAAATTATAAAAGCCAGCACATGAATCAACTCACTAGCATTTACCCAAAATCTAAAGATACTTTTGGAGCTATGAGATATGCAGAATTCTAATAAAAGTATTTGAAATTGGTAAACATTTTAAGTGCGTGTGTGTGTGTGTTTGTGGTGGTTAAAATACAGGATTTTTCATTTATTTACTAAGCTAAGAGAATTTTCACATTCTCCACAGCTCTGAAATGAGAAGAAAGAATTCTGAATCTGAAATAATACATCAGAATTCCGTGAATATTCACACAATTGATTGTGTGAAGAGTCTCAGCTAAATCAGCCCAGACACCTCAGAGCTTTGAAATGATATGCCAGAATTCTGAGATGTGTAAGTTAAACTAAAAATTACAATTTATTTTATTAAATTCATTTGTCTCTCATTATATCCATATATAATGTATTTTCCTGATTTGCACTTTCAAACACATACAAAATACCTGATGAGTCTGCCAGTTTATTCCAACCAGCCCAGCTTCCTGTCTTCACCTGTCAATGCTAACCATGGCTAAAAGCCCCATGGTTGCGTTGACAGATATGCATACGCCATACCAAGATTGGGAACAACAGCAGATTTGTGGTCTACTTGCAGTCCCAGAGTCTGCCTGTGACATCACTGACTCCCCTTCCTCCCACATGATGGCACTGGTGCTGCATGGGCGAAGCACATATTCACTTTGAGACTTCTCTGAACAGAGGTAAAAACACCTACTTAACATAAGGCTCAATTCACTAAGATCTGAAATTCATTTTATATTGTATTTCATGATAATTGTCTCTTTAAAATGTTCAATTCACAAACATAAAACTCAGGATCTTTACTTTTCGCAAAATGCACGTTTTACTGATTAAAGCCTTTTCGTCATTTTATCTCACAATGTGTTTATTTATAACCCAGGGCTACACCAACCCAGAGATAGATAACGCGGCCACTTTAGGGGCTGCAAGCTGTAGCAGTGGGAAGGGAACAGAAACATCCATACACTTCAAAAATATAGCAGCAGTTCTACCACTGCACACACTGAATGCAGGCTACTTTGGGGTGGAAATGTCAGAGTTTGCAACTGCACTTCTGGTAGCTCAGAAAAATGACAGGCAAAGTGAGTAAAGTAACACCAGTCCTGCAGTTGAGTGAATGTACTCTCATTGTAGAGAGGAACCAATCAAACACATTGGGACTGCAACCTATCGAGAAGTTTCATATTGTCATGTGACATTGCCACACCTTTGCTGATTGGTTGCAGTTCCAGAACATCTGAATAGATACAAATTACAGTGAATAAGTACATTCACTAAACTGTACTTCGGTTGTCATCTTTCACATCTTACTTCAGTTGTCATCTTTCACATCTTCTGCCTATCATAGTGGGGCATAGGGTCTACCCAGTCACTAGTACCAGGCTGGTGTGGACTGATTAGATAGATGGCTGGCTTTAGTAAATGTGGGCTGTAAGTCAGGCTAGCAAAGCTGGAACTCCTGCTATATTTTTTTTAATTATCTTTCTTATGCCTGCCATCAGGCTTTACCAGAACTCAGACAACAATCAATACAGACATCAGGAGGCTGCTGTGGTACGGAGGCAGAAGAGAACAGCCACACATATACGTTTCTAATGCTGTCGGGCTGTTATTGCAAGAAGTGGGGGCAGCATTATGAGCATAATATTAAAGCAGCCCCTACTGCCTAGACACAAAATTCTTAGTCAAAGTTGGAAAATTTAAAGCTTTGTGAAAAAAATAACTCGATCAGGGTTCTGCTCTGTCCGTAACATAATTTTGCCCCACCTCTGCCTCCCAGTAAAACAGGGGGTCTGAAATTCCATGAGAATTCACACCTGCAATGTGCTGACAATGGTAAGGCACAGTGACATCATCTGCTACTCCAGGAAGTGTGTGGAAGCTTGGGACAAGGTGTACATTTTTGTCCTGCTTTGACTAGGCATTTTAAGTTCCGGGTGTGCAGGGCTGTCAGTAAAGTGGACCTTGAAATTTCATACAAGGCCTGTATTAATAAAAGAGCCTGGCTATGTTTTACTATGCTCATTATGAGTAAATCATACTGATTTAGCCATGCCAAAACACCCGCCTATACCATTTTATGGACATGTGGCACTCCTAGACCAGTGGGCAGTGTCTCATTTCAGGATGACCTTTCTTAGCTTGGGATGGCGGGGGTTTCTCTTTGGCATCTTTGTCTTTGGTGCCAGAGGACCTTCTCACCATATCATGCAGCTTCTTTTTTTGCCCTCCTCATATGAGAAGTCACTGATACTCATATGTGTCACCTGCATGAACCCAGTGCTATGTGAAGGATAACCTGAGTGGTATTTTCTGTGATTTGGCATTTTGTTTATTTTATTATGATGACCATCAGAATAACGCTAACAGTCTTTTAACACTAGTTAGAGCGCTGCCTAATGAAAATGGTTTATTTGTAAGTTAAACTTTTGGGGATATGAGCTATGGACAGTACAGTAGCAAGAAATAAATAGCCAAACAAGAGAAAACCAGCTTTGTGAGGTTCAGTGAAATGATCCTTAAACATGCTGCACAAGTGTATTGTTTAGTTCCGTTTATCTGCTGCTTGCACAAAGGAGGCGGCTTACTTCATTATTAATGAATATTTCTGAAATGATCTCTTTAAAGGTTTACAGCATGAACTCAATATATATGTGCATAGTTATTTCCTGAAAAGGGAACACTGAAGTGCTGCAATTCCCCAAATTTTTTTTTCTACAGGTAACTAATTAACCTGATCATTGAAAACAAGAATCACTATATTTATGTAAGAACTGTGCCTTTGGTAAATGTTCACTAGAGCATTTTAAACAGTAGTTGTTTGCAATGCAATATTTACAAAGCACGTTGTAATGTTTGACTAAGTGCTCAGTGCAAGACTTATGTTATGCCCCCTGATATACTTTGTTAGTACTTGTTTTATCTCTAACGTTTTTCATAAGCATCAATATTTCTAATGCATTCTGCTTGTATTTATGGCAATAAAGTCACGTTAGACTCGATAGTACAACATTAAGATTGCATGGGCATTATTGTGGAGAAAAGTAAAATAAAAATAGTGAGTTTTAATAGGACAGAAAAATTATTGCTGTACCCATACAAATGGGAAATGCATTAACCTAGGAAATGCAGACCAGGGCCAGGGATTGAAAACTGGCATAAACAGATGCCTGCGCCCTGCACATATCATTAAGTAGCTACTTGAGTAAACAGGAGAGCCAAAAATCTGGCCTGGGTGTGTTATAATGCAAAATATCAGCCTTGGTAGATAATATCAAGCTCCATCCCACACACTACTGTTTCTGACTGACTCTACAATGTTGGAAAGGGTGAGACTTTTCTTGAATGAAGTAAAAAATTGCGAGCCTTGTGGCACGCAGTCAGAGTCATATATTTATTGACATGATGTTATGGATTTACTACAAGCGTGTAGACAAATTTCTTCTTTCTTAAGAAATGTAAAAAAAATGAATCAGGATCTAAATAAATTATTAAAAAATGGACCATATGTAATAATGTAATCTATAAAAAGAAATACACACTCTTGCGTTTTCTTATTTGTAACATAAAAACAGACATGTTTGCATACTTCAGATCAGATAAACACATGTAAATATACCTAAATATCCCAACACAAACTACAATACACACAAACACACTCTACACTACACTACTACTTACTGTAAAATTGAGATTTCAATTTTTTTCTTGTTTCTTACAAAATGTTTCATACTGACATGGTGGTCTATGCCAAATTGTCATGAAAGAGAGCAATATGTTATCCACAATATTTTTTCGTTTCCCACTTGGGTATAACATCATTATAAAACACTTTTATTTTTTATTTGACTGTCATTCAATGTTTTCTGACAACTGCAGCATACTTAATACGTCCCCTCCCTATTCCCAGCACATGGTGCAGTAACATAAACACACACTTCTCTACCAGAGGATGTAAGGCAACTCCTCTCTTTGGTAAGCTGACCCATTTGGCAAAAATTATGAATGTGCAAGTCATGACAAAGAGTTGGCAGCCAGAAAACAAGAGAGCCTTTGGCATTTCATACTGATCTATTGTATCCATTATATTTATTATTGTGTTGCTGGCTGACAATAAACAACACAGACACACCTGTTTCTCTCTTGCTTAGTACACCTGTACATTTACAAGAAACAAAACTTCATTTTCAATTCATATTTCAGACTAAATCCAGCTAAGTGGGCTTGCCAGATTTTTAATATACAAATCAAAATGTATTATTTTACATCATGGGAGAATCACAGTATTTCGTTTTCTGTATCTAGAATATATGCTTGGCTTGACTTACCTGAAAGGCTACATTGCTAAAGCCATTTGCCCCATCATAAGTTTTCTCGTTGAGCTCCATGTCAGTGACAGCTTAGAAAAGTAAATGTCCAGAGCATTCAAGTGATTCTTGCATACAGCGAGGACAGAGGTTTTACCTGCCTGCAGCCACTCCCAGCTTTTATTCTCTTTCCCTGCTCCACCTATTGAGAAGCATAATTGCACACTCGCAGACAGATTGCTAAATAATGTAAATTGGTCATTTACATATAAAGATGGGAACCAGTGTAATGATCTAGGATGGGAAAAGGATTTAATTCTTAAACAACATAGTCATGTCTCAAGTAGGAAAGTAACGTAAAAAAAATTGTGCAAATGATCACTTTCATCATTTAGTGGTTTTCAACATAGCTTATCAGGAAATGTATTAACACATTTGTGTTTACACTCATACACACACACACACACACACACATTACAATGTGATCAAACCACATGCAATATGACCCATGGAGCCCTAAATGTAAAAAAGTGACTAAGGGACTCAATCCACCAGCATTGACCTATAACCAACAGTATCAAGGTATATGAGAATAGTTCTAGACTGAGGAGAAGACTTGGAGCACTGGAAACTGTTTTCTTATCATTTAGGTTATTACTACATAATATCTTGATTGAAAACATAAAACATTGTTTTTAGGCATTTTTAGACAAAATGAACTACAACATTTTGCATAATCATTGCTCACTAAGGGGTAGCGATTAGTTAGCATTATAGATTACCACTTGGCCTTTGCCCTAATTTCTGATGCACCAGATAACAATCACCATTTTACTTGCCACAAATGCTGCAATGGCTTATCTAGAGACCATTCAAATTGTTGTGATGCGTAACGCACACGTATAAACACATGTGTTTTTGTGCGCTAACATTTATTCCATTAGGTAGCCCATTCATCTTAAATAGGTTGTCAATGTACCACAACACAGGAAATGCTTCTGCACCATTTTTCTAACTTCAGAGCACTACAGCACAGTGGTTCACATCTATCACGTGTGTGATGTGAATTTGGCCTGCAGGTAGGATTCACATCTTTCCGTGTAATTTTTCATGCATTTTTACTTTTCCGTTATCAACTTGTGTTGACATGCGTTTATAAAATGCATTGACGCTCATTTTCATTCTGAGCCACTGCCATCAATGGGACTCTTAAAGCACGTCAATGCATTAAAAAACAAACATGAATTACAATTACAATTATTTACATAGCGCCAACATATTCTGCAGCACTGTACAATCGTTTAGACAAGACAAATAAGAAAAATGACAAGCATCATCCCTGTGCGGCCGCACTGCTCGCACACCCCTAAGGCCGGCCCTGTCATTGACATACAGAAACAGTAGGTGAGGAGGACGCTGCCCAAATGAGCTTACAACCTAGGAGAACTTTTCAGGCCAACACAAATTGCACGGATGTGAACTAGATCTAAATATGCACCGATACCAAGTACTGTACTCGGTACAAGTACAGATACTTTTCCAGCTCCAAGACTACACTAGAGAAAAATTCAAAAGTTAGTAGGCAGCTGTCATTTCTAAGGAGCACACGGAGCTCCTGGAATTTGTACATCCCTGTTTTAATGTATGATTTTAAAAAAAATAAACATATATAAAGTGATGCACCGATACAATTTTTTCAAGTACAAGTACTGATACTTGTCCAAGTACTCTCAGATACAAGTGCTGATAAATTTTTGTTTATTGTCATGTGACAGTTTTTCTAAAACAATACAGACTAATGATTTCAGAACAGTGGTGGAGCACCAGAGCCAGGTCCCAGCTGCAATCGCTGCAACCCTGGTAGTTGTCATGAAAATGCCAAGTATTGGCACTGGTATCTGAACTGGTATCTGAACATCCCTAACTAGAACCATTTAAAACAATGGCTACCCTGTCTACACTCATTAATATGGATTCAAGCACATAGTTGTGAATGGGATAAGTAATTTATGACTTGGTTGTTGGCCTTAGTCTGACTTCCTTGTACAATGTGGAGCAAAAACCACTATGGCTGTCTTCACACCTGTGTATCCTTGTTCCCGTGCATTTGTTTACTGCTTTGTACAGGTGCATTGTTATCAAAAGCCTTTATAATGCGTGTCAACAAATCAAAAAATGGACATAGATTATGGTGAACGCTTGTCAACTCACTCCATTGATGTGACCTAGCATTCAATTTTAAACCTCTGCATATTTAAACCAATGCCTGTTAATGTTTGTTTAACAGGTCTATTTACAAAAGGGTGAAGAGTTTGGAGAAGGCAGAAGAAGTGAACAATCTAGGCCAAAATAGCTGAACTGGAAACATTTTCCAATTCAGCTCACTTTCCAGTTCAGTTCAGCTTGGAATGGGATGCTAAAAAGTTCCTATAGGTGTGATTGTTTAGGTGTCCACATTTTGGCTATTTCCTGCTTTCAGTTAAACATACCTGGTGATCCTACCAGCAGGGTATGTCCACAGGCACTTTCATTCCTAGGGTGATAAAGCTTGTCATCCTTTCTTGTGTGTCCCTGAGGTGCATTTATTATGGACGGAAAAGGTCATAGGCTGTAAACTGAGGTAAGGAGGTGAGAAACTGTTATATTTAGCAAAGGGATAACACATATTTTCCTGAGGGAATTTGCAACAGTGCAGAACTTTGTAAACAGGAAGGGGTGGGGAAGAATTGTAGCAGAGAGGAAGTGAATCTTTTAGATGAACTATTGCAAATGTAGGAGGGATACACTAAAATATATGCCATATAGCAGTCCATAGTTACATAGACAAATATAGGCTAGTGAGGGTTTATAACTAGGTTCCTCCTTAGTACCAGACTAGCTGTGTATCAGCATTTTACATCTTGAAGGTGAAACCTAATTATCTGTTTGATCTGTCTAATTTAAAATTAATTTAATTAGATGGCTGTACAAAAAACACTCCCTTGATGTCTTTTATTGCGTGTCCTTTTACACAATCGCCCAAATGTCCCATGGAGGGTGTTTGCTCAGTCAGTTAAAATCTGTGCACTAGACCAAAAAAGGGACAATTGAGGAGGAAAGAGGAACAGAGGGATTTGTTTCCACATTAGGGACAGTTTCTCTAAATAAGGGAAAGTTGGAAAGTTTGGTCTAACATAGGGGTCTATTCACTAAGTTGCCATAGGCAGTCAAGTGAATGACCGACGTGAAGCGAAGTGAGCCGAACGCTGTTCGGCTATTCACTTCAGGCTGGTACGGCTGAAATCAGCCGTACATCGGGGGGCTGCACGTGGCTTCGGGTCTGCCGAACATGCTCTTCTGTAGGACCGAGCAGAACAGAAAAATATTTTAAAAAGTAGAAAAAAATAAATAGAAAACGATTGTGCGGAGCTAGATTCCTATTGGCTATTTCAATTTGCAATAGCCAATAGCAAACTAGCTATTGTACCTGCCCTCTGCTGCTGTCAATCACTAGTGGGGACCCGATGGAGAACTGCAGCAGTGGGCGGGTGTAATAGCTAGTTGGAATCTAGCAAGGCATTCCTATGGTGAAATTTTTTATTTTTCTAAAATTCTGACGCCAGCCAACGGTTCCGTGTCAGAATATAAAAGAAAAAGCAGTGTTTCTCTCCTGGGCGGCCGGGAGCGGGAGACTCCCCGAGCACCCGGGAGAGTTAGGCTGTCTGGTGTCTGGAGATCAGTGTCCCTGGTTAGCTGGTAACCAGGGACGCTGATCTCTCTGCAAGTGGCCGGAGCCAGCCGTAAGATCACGGAAGCAGACTGTCAGGCTCGGCCAGCTTCGGCTTTCACCTCGGCTCAGTCGAGCCGAGGCATATGTCATCA